CCAAATGAAAATTTGTATAATATTTTAAATCTCGCGTAACATTTGAAAAGGGCCTTCATCGACATTCTCTTTGGTTTACCACGGCAACGTAAACGAATTTCTCGCTAAGCTCTCTACATAGTTCGACAGAAGATGATGTTTGCTTTCGCCTGAAAAAAACACACTGAATGGGATATTCATTTGCAGTCGGGTTATTCGCGAAAGAGAAAATCGATGAAGAGAATCGATCAACAATGATAGGCCCTTTTCTCGTGTTGCGCGAGAAACGTATGTATTTTAGTACATTATTCTATTTGACAGAGACACGTCAGACAAATTTTCAAGTAATATACAAAAGGTAATTAATTTTAATAATTTGACTTTTTTCAGTAATAAGTCACGCCCCTCGATGATTATTGCTGACCTTTTTCAACGCTAGATGCAACGTGAAGCAATATTTTTCGGGTTGACATCGCCAAGTATGGAAAAGTCATGAATGGATTATATTGTTAATATGATATATTTGGCTAAAAGTCTCTCTAAACGGTTGAAGGCAAACTCAAGGATTATGTACATTGGGTTCTTTAATTTTGAAAAATATATATATATCGGTTACGATTCTGTGACACTACCCCGAATGTCACTACCCCGAACGCCATAACCCCGAATGCCACTACCCCGAATGTCCTACTACCCCGAATGACCATTACCCCGAATGCCCTACTACCCCGAATGGCCATTACCCCGAAATTAAGACAAATGAAAGAACAGCAAGGGGTCAAAAGAAGGGTACATTTTTAGAAGGAAATTTCGTTTTGGAATTTATACTGAATACAAATGATAATTTTTTATTGGAATTTTGAAGCTTGCAAGCGAGCAAGCTTGTTTTACGCGAGAAGCCCGAGAGGTGTCGTTACTGAGGTCCTATGTTTTGAGATACTATGTTTTCAAGAAAAACTTTTTCAAAGTGTTATGTCTGTTGTCTGTGATTAAACTCTCTGATTAGTTTCACTTTACTAAATTGATGATACACTACGTTTACTTTTATGGAACTATGTATTTATCAATTCCAAACCATTTTAAAGCTCTTTAGAAAATGACAACCTTCAAGTTTTCGAGCACTTCGTTCACCATTTAAAAAGTCAAAGGGTCTAATATGCAATCCAATTCAATATGCAATACCAGTCGGAAACTGTTAAACCTTATCAAAGAATTGTTCGACCTGAGTCTAGACCTGAGTTGAAGAATTTCTCGTTATGGATTGAAAAATCGGTGCATGGAACGTTGAACTATCGATTACAAATTTATAACATTATTCCACACGTTATTATCCCAAATGGTCATTACCCCGAATCCCTTGCCAAAAGCTATTGATTACATATTTTCCTTATATATTAAAAGAAGGGAATATTCCCTTCCCTTCTTTATCATACATCCAAAGAATAAATTATTTTCTTTTTATATATTCAAAGAAAGGAATATTCCCTTCTTTATCGTTCATCCAATAATTAATTATTTCCTTTTGTTATATTTTCAAAGAAGGGAATATTCCCTTCTTTATCATATATTTAACGAATTGATTATTTTCTCTTTTATATATTAAAAGAAGGGAATATTCCCTTCTTTATCGTATATCCAAAGAATTAATTATTTCCTATTGTTATATTTTCAAAGATGTGAAACCCCCTTGAGCCATTAAGGGGCTGTTCATTAACTACGTAGACAGTTTTTTTTGGGATTCTTGACCCCCCCCCCTTCCCCTGCACAGACAATTTTCCATACAATTTTTTTTAAATTTGTATGGACCGTGCACAATTGCCAAACCCCCCCCCCCCCCCTTCCCTAAACTGTCTACGTAATTTATAAACATATCCTAATAAGTTTTTCTTTTCTTTTTATATACGCGAAAGAATATTCCAGGAATGACTATAATAAACAAAAATAGTCAATCTAATACATGGCATACTTTTCTGGGGAATGGTACATTCTGGGGAATGGTTCATTCTGGGAAATGCTTTTCTGGGGAATGGTGCATTCTGGGGAATGAGATTCTGGGGAATGGTTTTCGGGGGAATGGTTTTCTGGGGAATGTTATAGAATCCTATCATTTGTATTCAGTATAAATTGACCACTTTGTCAAGCAGTTTTGGCGTGACTTTCTACCAGCGATTTCACAAAACTGGACCAACTAATTTCTATTTTTAATTATAAAACGCACAAATGTTGGCTACTTTTCTCGAGGCTCTAGAAGAAAAAATTTCAAAATAATGTATTATTTCAAAGTTCGAGTGGTAGTAAAGGGTGATACGGTCAAAATTTGGTCAATATCAACTTGACGTATTTCTTTCAATTTTGCATTTGAAAAACCTGAACACCCCTCATTTTGAAGGTGTGTGTGTGTAGAATGTTGCTCCTATTTTGATTTTGGAATTCATTCTTCAGTTGTCAAAATGCCGTCCAAGCAAGAAGAGCAGCGTATCAAAATTTTGCTCGCGCATCGCGAAAATCCGAGCTACTCGCACGCAAAGTTGGCAAAATCGCTAAAAGTTGCCAAATCAACCGTTACAAATGTAATTAAAGTGTTTGGGGAACGTTTGTCGACAGCCAGGAAGTCTGGATCGGGGGGAAATCGAAAACCGGAAGCCGCTGAGACGACAAAGAGAGTTGCCGGTAGTTTCAAGCGAAACCCTAACCTCTCTCTCCGAGATGCCGCAAATAAGCTGGGTGTATCGTCTACAAAGCCGACTACAAGCAGCTTCCGGGACAGGAGTTTTATACGGCAAAAGGAAGGGGAAAGGTAGCAGATGTTTTCAAGCACATGAAACTGTCAAAGTTCGCAAAGAAATATCTGGTTTGGCAAGCCATCTGTACCTGTGGCTTGAAAAGCAGCATTTTCATAGCTTCCGGGACTGTCAACCAAGAAATTTACGTGAAAGAGTGTTTGAATAAACGTCTGCTGCCTTTCCTGAAGAAACACGGTTGTTCCGTACTGTTTTGGCCGGATTTGGCATCTTGCCATTACGGTAAAAAGGCCATGGAGTGGTACGCCGCCAACAACGTGCAGGTGGTTCCCAAGGACAAGAACCCTCCCAACACGCCAGAGCTCCGCCCAATTGAGAAATACTGGGCTATTGTCAAGCGGAACCTAAAGAAGACCAAAAAAACTGCTAAGGGCGAGCAGCAGTTCAAGGCAAACTGGCTTTCTGCGGCGAAGAAGGTGGACAAGGTGGCTGTACAAAATCTGATGGCAGGGGTCAAGCGTAAGGCCCGGCAATTCGGATTTGGAAAAGCGGAAGCCTAACTGAATATTTTTCCTGAATTTTATACTAATTGAACTTGAAAAAGAAATTTAATTTGATTTTTAAAATAAACGATTTCACCGATTTACACGCGTTTTCCCTTGACCAAATTTTGACCGTATCACCCTTTAAACGTCATTTTAAGTGCTCGAATGAAGTGGTTAATTAGAAAAGAAAATTTCCTTCTCAAAAATTTATCCCTTGCTGTTCTTCTATTTGTCTTAATTTCGGGGTAGTCGCCATTCGGGGTAATGGCCATTCGGGGTAGTGTACTATTCGGGGTAACGGCGTTCGGGGTAGTGTACCGTTCGGGGTAACGGCGTTCGGGGTAGTGACATTCGGGGTAGTGTCACAGAATCATCGGTTACATATATACATCACAGACAAACAGACGTAAGTGTTTGAAAAGTTTTTCTTGAAAACATAGTATCTCAAAACATAGGACCTCAGTAACGACATCTCTCGGGCTTCTCACGGAAAACAAGTTTGCTCGCTAACTCGCAAACAATATTGATTAAAAGTTCTTTAGAATGTATAGAAACATCAAAGTGATCCGATGCCAGCGCTGCGGCGAGTTGTTCGCGGAACTTACAATATTGTAATCAACCGTTAAATGCGTGAACGAAGATACACAATGAAGTGTTACGTCTGTTTGTCTGTGTATACATCATCTGAAAGGGCTTGTTTTTCTGAGCACAACGATAAATCAAAATATAAGTTCACTGTTAGACACAAAACTAACTAATTGACTGATCGCTGTCATACAAAGTAACACCGAGGGGCGCTAAGATGGTGATTTTTGGCTAATCGCAGTTATTTAAAACAGTTCCAGTGCTCCATATAGGTTTTCATACATCGTCTGAAAGAGCTTCGTTTTCTGAGCTGAACGATATTTTTTTTTCAAACATATGACTTTCATCTCGATTTTAATTCAAGATTCAAAGCAAAATAATAGCATCACTGTTTGACACTTAACTAACACATTGACAGCTAGCTCCCATACAAAGTCCCATCGCCCTAATAAAATTGTTATGGTTAAGGCGGTGATTTTTACTTATGTAATCGCACTTATTTAAAATAGTTCCAGTGCTCCAAATTTCATGAAACACGGGATTTCGGTTCCATTTGTAATGCAGATTACGAATATGCAATTACCTCAATACCCCTAAAGAACCCAATTGGGTTCTGTAGTGGTATTGAGGTAATAGCATATTCGTAATCTGCATTACACATGGAACCGAAATCCAAAATTTCATCAATTTTGGACCACTGGAATTATTTGAAATAAATGTGATTAAATTAGCAAAAATCACCACCTTAGCGCCCCTCGGTGGTACTCTGTATGGGTGCGAGCTGTCATTTCGCTAGGTTGGTTTCAAACAGTGAGGTGATTATTTTGCTTTAAATCTTGATTTAAACATCGAGATGGAAGTAAATGGGATCCAAAAAAAAACATCGTTTTGCTCAGAGAACGAAGCCCTTTCAGATGATGTATAGTAACCGATATAATTTTCAAAATTAAGGAACCTAATTGTCAAGGTAATCATCCCGAGGATCGTGAGTATGTGACTGAATCAACAACTATTTTTTTTTTGAAGCGAAGCTTCCTAACACAGACATCAAAGTCAAGGTCGTGATTCGTTTTTTTTTTTCGATTCCCTAATCGAGTTCCACAACAACTGATTACTGGTTACGTTGCCCCAAATTAATTTCTGTACTAACCTAGTGTGATTCTGTTGGCCGGGTCGTACTCCAGCATGCGTCGGATGATGTCGAACAGCTGCAGATGATCGGGCGTCTCCGCCAGCACGTACCGGTGCAGCGGTTTGCAGTGATCGCGCACGTACCGTCCGGCGGACGACTTTTCGTCCCAATCGAGCTTACCGTGGTGGAAGTATTTGGTGCGGGTTTTCCTGTTTTCGACAGAAGAGAAAGGCTCACTACTTTAAGTTTGAGCTGTTCCTACGGAATTGACAGAATCTACTCTCTTACCTGGCCATCCGATATGGAATTGTACCTAGTATACGCTCCATCATAGCTAGATGTTCCCTATTGTCGTGGGTTTGAAATAGCGTAATGCCCAGATACAGTTCAAACATTATACAGCTGTGGGGGAAGTGGAGGACGCAAATTAGGAATCTCATTCGAGTTGGAGAGGAATTTCACTGCCTGACTTACCCTATCGACCAGACGTCGCACGGTTGCGACCAGCCCAGCTCCAGGATTACTTCCGGCGCCCGATAGTGACGGGTCGAAACGATCGTACTGTGGTGCTCGTGGTCGAACGTGGCACTGCCAAAATCGATCAGCCGGATGTCGGTGCACTTGACGCGGCGCACCTCACGGTTCTGTGTGATTGGAAAAAAAAGTTAGAAAATCCCGAAAAAAACAACTTGAATCCACGATGGGTACCTTTCTGCCGTTGAACGTCGTCGTGTACTCCGAGTCCACAAACAGAATATTCTCCGGTTTCAGATCGGTGTGGGTGAGTTTGTTTTCGTGCAAGAATTTGACCGCATAGCACATCTGGTAGGCCATGTGCCGCACGTTATCCATCGGGTAGGGTTCGTAGTTGTTTTCTCTCTGTGAATTAAGGAAGAAAATTAGCATCCGTTGACAGTCGCAATGTATGATTGAAACTCACCAGAAAGTCGAAAACACTGAGACCCAGCATTTCGAACGCGATGCACATGTGGCCATGGTAGTCGAACCAGTCCAGCATTTTGACACATAAACTGCGGAAAAGAATTGCAAGTTTTAGGAGAATTGTCGCGTTATGAAGTTATCTAGGGTCGAATTACTGTTGGAAAGTTGGATCCTTTTCGGCGATCTTCTCCAGTGCGTTGATCTCCAGCTTGGCTGCCTCCCGGTACTTTTCGACGTTCTTGATCACCTTAAGTGCCATGGTGTGGTCCCTGTGGGAATGAAGCAGACACATTTGCAGATTAATTATAATGCGATTGGCGCAACGTAAACAACGTTCGAGATAGAGTCATAATTTGGAATTAAGCAACAATGGAAACACAACTGTCAGTAAGTAGATGGCGAAAGCAAAACGAGAAGATGATTAACTCCGTTTGACAGCTTTACGAACGCCGAGCGCATCATACACACACACACACAGTGGGTGTAACTTAGTGGGGAGCGAAGCGTTTCCAATTTGGAACCGCGCGGGAAGTTAACTCGATTAGCATTCAACGGCAAACGATCGCGACGACGTTTTTAAATCGATCGAGCAGCGCTAACTTTTGGATAGATCAACAATAAACCGCCAAAATCGGGTTTCCTCCAAGTAGGGTCATTGATTAGTCTATCTGATGGCTGGGTAGCAGTGAACAAATGGCTCGAATCCGAAAGAAGGAAATTCTATGGGGGAAATATGGAAATGGTGTGAATTATTGGCTTTTGCGGGGAACCTGTTCCCGCAATCCAAAGTCGGTGGTCGAATAGTGGTTTCTGGTGATTATCTGGTAGCGATTAGAGTTTTATGGTACTTTTCGCCTTATATACAGGTGTCACAGAAGGAAGAAGTGTAAGTTAGTTAAAATGAACTATGACGATTGTATATAGTAATTTAGGCTATAATCAATCCCCCTCGTGTTTTTTTTTGCGAAATTCACGACACTTGCGTAGGAAATTAATTTGGCAAGGCATTGGTGACCAGCATACATCTTCTGGTCTTATGAAAAGGTCCAAATCTGAGAAACTCCGCCCGTAAACTTTTTTGTTTTGGCCCCTTTTATGGCAAAATAGTGAACTTTACATGAACATTAGCGGCAAACAACTCACCAACACTAGTGGACCGTGAATACTTATCACCCATACATCTATCCATCTTGGTTAATTTTGTTCGCCAAGCGGTGCTTGTGATGCGCTTCACACGGATTTTCTATGTACACTCACACCATCAAAGCTTGCTGCCCATATCAACTGCAGGCAAAGCTTGCCTTCTACCGCTAGGTTCGCTAGTGTTCTCAAAAATAATTGGAGCCTCTTTTGGATCCGAAGTTCCACTTCTGTTCTGTGATTCCAATCAAATGAACATTTTTATAGTTCAGTTCAATAGAGCCTAGAACAATCCAAGAAAAAAGTTTGGTTTTATTGTAGTTCTTAAGAGGTTAACAAAGCTTAGAATGGACTTGTCGATCATTATAGAACATGAAATGTTACTTGCGAAGGACCAGGAAGATTTAAATTAGAAATCTTTGTACCTTATTTATACCAAAAGTGCCTTATTTGATGAACTCACAATTTGAGACTAAGATAATTGTTTGCAGGTTCAAAGGGCTATGAGGGTTGATCCCGGTGAGGATCCGGTGAACTTCGCGTATATGCGCGTATTGTATTGTAGGTTCACGTAATTTCCCACAGAACTAGTCTAGAGAGCCTCCTACTACAGGCAAGTCTAGTGAACAGAGCGAGTGCCAAGGACAAGAGAAGGACTTTGTGATCAAGCCCACTGATCGAACGATGTATCAACCGTCTACATGGCGTGAGACCGTAGACTGGAAAACGGGCTCGCAGTGCCGTTATTTCACGAAGTAGCAATCGTTGAGAACCAGGTCCTCGGATTTCCAGAAGCGCTTGATACTTTCTTCGAGGGACGCCATCGAAACGGTTACAGAACTAGGGTGATCTTGCGCAGAGGAACCAGCGACGATCCAGCCGAAAACGCTATCAACGAGAACAGGTAGGTTTGCGGCGCTGGGGAACAATGAATAGAAATGCTTAGTACCGATCATCATGTCTATCGGCTGCGACTTATTGAAAGAAGGACCGGCCAATACGAGTTCCTCTTCCTGTCCATCACCAAAAAGCTCATGCCGCTGCTAATTTCTAACCGAATAGGTTTGGACAATTTGCCGGCTCCTTGGACCGTAATGTTGACGTTGCTACGCCGCAGACGAAGAATGCTTGCTAGCCGCTCGGTTATCTGGTTGTGAAGCGCTGACTGCTCCTGACCAAAGGCGTCGACGATATTCACGATGACGGTCAAAATGAACACATTGTCCCTTAGCTGCTGAGCTGGGACACTAGTTTGAACCACCGAAACGGCTTCCGCTGCTGTTACCAGAGATTGCTCGGACGTACTGAGCTGACCACTGGCTTCGCCGAAGTGGTAGTAGCTACCGTTGCATTGTCGCTAGAGGACCTGCTACCGGTATCGGAAGCAGCATCGTTTCACGATGGAGAACTTGAAAAATTCCTGTTCAAGAAATACAACGCAGGGTCCTAGTCAATCCCTAGGCGTAACATTTGGTGCCATGACCTGGATTTGACATCCCAGAAGATAATATCAACCCATCAAAAGTCGATTTGCTGGACATCATGATCCGCTTCTGAACGTTCAAGATGACGTCGCAAAAATGTATCGTCAAGTTCTGCTCCATCCGGGTGACTGGTCATAGTTCGCATTTTTTCCCGTTTCTCTCCTACCTCTCCGATACAAACCTGCTGAGCTGCTCACTGTTACCTACGGATTAGCACCTTCCTCCTACCTCGCAACACGCACGCTGAAACAACTGGCGAATGACGAAGGCCATGCATACTCTGCTTCTACGTCGACGATTTTATCGGAGAAGCACAAACGCTGGAAGAAGCTATTAGACTACGGAAGGAGATGAGTGAGCTGCTTGCCAAGGGAGCTGCGGAAGTGGACATCGAACAAACTGGAAGTCCTAAAGGGTCTGAAGGATGACCAAATCTGTACGCAATCGTCACTAGAATTCCGCTAGAAACCGTGAAGGCACTAGGGATATGCTGGGAACCGGAGGTCGACACTGTGTGACATATATTAGCGCTAGTGTAAGCAGGTCTTAACTTGACACTTAACGAGTCAGCAAGCCATGTGCTCTAAGCGCATGGCAACGCTTCATAAACACATACGGGCAACTCTCCACTCACTTTCGGATCAGTTCACAAGGTAAGTCGCACAGACACTTTACGCTTCGACTCCAGCATTGATCCAAACGCCGAACCTCCTACGAAACGTTCTACATATACTGTCTACCATTTCGCGGATATTTGACCCACTCGGTCTCATCGCTCCGGTAGTAGTCTCCGATTTGCTTGAAACTTTGCATACTTGATTGTTATGAGCAATGATTCACGTTTTTGTTCAAATTGGGTAGCCAATTGTAACGGAATTAAAAGGAAATAAATCAACACACTCAAAAAGCTCTTCCTAAAAATTGGAATACTCTTGAATATTGACCCTGGGCATAACTTCAAGATTGTCTACACAACCCTTTGGATGTCCTCGGACGCCTCCTTATACTGCTTTCGTGCTGCATACTTTTAAGCTTTTTTCCTTGATTACTAAAGTAAGCGAAACAGAGTGTGCTAAGCCTTGGACCTACTTGGAAACAATTTCAAAGAAAGTTACTTAATTTTCAAAATTTCCTACTTTTCAGCTAAAATTCGACTATCTAAAAAACTGGTCAAAGTCTCAAAATGAAATAAAAAATAAAGGAAAAATTACAAAACAGGATTACTGATTCAAAACTTGAGTATATTTTAATCAGTTTCACCTATTTTATAAAAGACCATTTTGTGTGTAACCTGAGTAAATTTTGTGAACATAAGGGCCAGGGATAGAACCCACGCTCAGTAAGCAAAAACTGCCACCACTAGGCCACCGAGCCCCTCCACATCATAGCAAACCACGGCAACCGACTATATTTTTGAACCCGGATCAAACATACGTCGCATTTCTAAATTTGAGTACATTGATAGTTTACTTGACCTTTAAATGAATTTAAATGGCCCATCAAAAATCGATTAATCTAATTTAAAAAAAAAAACAGTTCAAAAATGCAAAAGTACACTGCGGCAGATAACTTGACAGCTACAGCTTCAATGGTATTTTTCCAAGAATTGACACTAGTTAACTAACTGAGTGGTTAGTAGGAACTCACCACAGGCCAAGAGTCATTTACCCTAAATTATTTAACCTAATTTGAGTTCGTATTAAAGAACTACTTACGTTTGTGAATTTTGTTTGAAATTGTCTTTAAAATTTAAAAGATATAAGGGTCGAACGGTTTAGCATTGTTCGCCATTGACGGATTTTTGCTGCACGGAACTCAGTAATCTTCGAGTGGATCTGCGACGAGTTTTGCGACGCTCGCGACGAATGCAGCAGTTTCCACCTGTTGCTTAATTCTACAAATATATAGTAAACATCTATACTTACATTTCCATATCCTTGACTTTCACCACCCTGCCGAAGGTACCCTCGCCTAGGGTGGCCAGGATTTTATCTGCTCGCACGCACGCACACATGCAAAGAGAAGAGCAGAGGGAAGAAAAGAACAAAGAAAATTCCGAAATTAATGATGGCTAGGTGGCGATCGCTTAACCTTTCGTGATTTATCTTTTACTGTGGACTAAAATCTAAAGAGCTGTCTGTGTACATTTTTTTTCCGAGTTTTTCGAACTTGATCGAGTAGTACGATTTCGATTTTTCGATTTATTTTCTTCGAAAGAGACAGAGAGAAAGACAGAGATAGGCAAGAAATATGAAACGATAAAACGAAACGTAATTTTGTTCTCTCTTTCTTTATTGGGGACAACGGGGTAAGTTGGAATGAAGTTCCGAAACGCGACAGTCTGCCGATAATTTGCATTTGTCTTCCAATTCATCCAGCTACGATCCGGGGAAATTTAGCTACTTTTCTGATAATTAATATGGATGTCTCGTAGGTGGATGAATTGATTGGTTCGTAAATTTTGATTCAAGTATCGGGCAGACTGGGTGTAAAAAAAAAACGGAATCAAAACAAAACCGCGATCTGGGAGCACTGGATTGGTGAAAAATCCTCCTGCTGTTGTTGGCAGCAGGGGAACATCATTTCCTTGGAGGTTATCTTATAAGGATGTTTCACCACGTTCCAAGCGCTCCGGACTAGTTATCGATAAAAAAAAAGGACGCGACCGCGACCGACAGGGGGGCAGTGGGGTAAATTACCAAAAAAAATATATATTAAAGAATTTAAATTAATGCTTCACGAACATCTGTTATGAAGAATGTCGCCAGTGTGGTAAATCAAATGCCCATCAGCATCATCCCTGACGGATGGTTGTTTCTGTGCTCGCCAATCATCATCATTATCATCATCATCATCATCATCGTTATCGTCAATCGCCGTTGACCAGAGGGAGGGGATTATCGTCATCGATTATTATCATCAATTTCATAATCATCATCATCATCATCGTCGTCATCGAGGGTGTTTCGGTTTTCGATTCGGTTATGGGTCATCAAGAGTGATCGATCATCATCCAGGGCCGGGTTGGCAGATCGTCATCGTCGTCGTTGTTCGGGGTTTGGCAATCCACGCACACAGACACATTGGGCAATCGGATCGGATCGGTTCGTTGGGGCGAGAAGAGGCGTTGGGCGACACACACACATAAACCACCAGTGGGGGGGCACACATCATCATCATCATCATCATCATCAAATCATTGTTCATATCGAAGAAGAGACACGAGAAAAATACGGTATCGATTTGCGATAAGATAATTAGTTCGAAAAAATATAAGAAAAAATTTGGTATACAAATATAAATACACTCTATTTGGTTTGTTTGGCTTAGTGATTATCAGGCGGAGCGGTTATCATTTGTTTGTTCGGACAGTTACTCAAATTGGGTAAATTACAGGAAAAATGCACTCATTTTTTTTTGTTTATCTCAATCGGTTATTTGAATGTTTACGTTTGACGAAGAAAACAAAACCATGCAAGAGCCATCATCGATTTTAATCAATACGGGGGAAGGTCAAACAAACATAAACCAAACAAAACGAAACATTGGCGCAAACTGACCTCCGTACGAACCGCAGGCATTCTTCGCTTTTACGCTCTCTTCGCTAGCACGCACACTTTCAAACTTCAGCCATACGCTCGCTATCTGTTGTTATGGAACTATGTAGTTTGCATTTACCTGAACTGTCACGAACACAGGCTACTGCGATGCGCGATTGATTGTTTGCAGTTGTAGGTATGTGTGTATTGGTGTGTTAGTACATAGCTTGGCGATGGCTATTGTCCCGGGTTTGCAAGCAAGTCAAATTGATGAGCGCTACTTTTGTTTGTTTCAAACAGGACAATTTTGATGCTAATCTGCATATTGGAACTGTTTTTGTTTTTCGCGGTTAGTTTTCTGTGGTGATGGAAAATTAATGTTATATGGTCAGACGTAGTACACTCGAAACGAAGCACACAGCCCACGAAAACATGCACGAAATTAACCTGGAGATAGTCCTAAACACTTTTTTTTAATATTTGTTGAAATATCGAGATCTACATTTGAAATAGGCAGAACAACCAAACGTACTCAGTGGCAGTAAACGCAAATTTCTCGAGAATCAAAACACATCCAAGCAATCCAACTGTGTTAAATATTTACCTAATTTGAGAAAACTCAGGTAATCATGACGTATGATTATTGCAAACAATTTTAATGAAGAAAAGAAACTGCTGTCACGATTATCTGAGATTTGTCAAATAATGTAAGTATTTACATTGCTTGCACCAAAGAATCGCACAATCTTACGAATACTAAAGAGGAAGAAAATGAAGAAGAACCAAGAAGGCGATATAACAACTACTTACAAAGGATTCCTGCGGTCTCATGCACACTCTTGTGCATCTGCAGAACTCTAATGTTAGTTTGAGTGGATGTGTTTTGATTCCCGAGAAATTTGCGTTTACAGCCATTGTTTACGATTAGTTGTTCCGCCCTTTTTCAATTGTTGGTCTAGATATGACTTTCTGTATAGTAATCGGTAAGAAGGTTTGCAAGCACTTTTCTTCACTTCAAAAAAATAGTTAAAGCCAGTAGTTTGATACATTTTTCTGACGGATAACAGCTTTCTAGTTGGAACGTCACCCACTCAGTGGACTTCCAACTGAAAAGCACCTTCCAACGAGCGAATCATGACTGTAATTTGTATTTGCTGAACCCCACTGTATTTGATACGATGCGGAGGAAAAACGACAGCTAAATCTATTGTCTAACTGTCAACCTATCAAATCCGGATGCAGTCACTAGAAGATTACTATTGGCGTGAAGAGATATTTTGCACTTTGGATCAAATTGACTATCCATCTTTCATTGGAGTATTTTGAAATGCAAAGAGTTTGATTTTCTTTTTCTGTGTATAAAGGTTGTAATAATAAAACATTACATCTCATGAAACTATGTCGACTCAATGAAGAAAAACTAAAAAGGACAGCCCTGTGGGGTTGTCCTGCTGGCAGACAGCATTTCGTTGTGTACTGTAGAACAATGCTCAATGCCACGTGCCGAAAAAAACACTGCTGCTGCTGCTGATGTCGACGACCGTACACCACCACACACGGTGATAATTTTAACTATCATAGCAACAGTTGCACATTCGCGAAATTTTCAATAGTGACAGTTTGAAAAATGACAACGTCTTAAATTTAGCAGATGCGTAGAAATATTTCTGATCGATTGGTGATAGAAAATTTGAAATTGGTCCAGGGGCAACTGAGTTATTAACGTTCAAAATCTTTCATAATTTTGTTACATGTTCCATTTTCGGTTTTCATAAAGTGTATCCCCATATAGAAATCACAGACGTAGTCCTACGTCAAAACAAATTCCCTGACTTTCCAGTAGTTTTTTCGAAAAATTGCAGACATAGGAAACTAGATAGGTTCTAGGATAAGATGGGAGCGGATTGGCTGATGTTGAGCCAAAAAAACCGTCGAAGCCACAGCCAATCCAGCGGCGCATATATTGATTACATTGGCAGTGTTGCCAGAAACCAACCACTTTGGCATAGGTTGCCAAGGCAGTTTGTTTTGAATTCGCTCCTCGCTTATACTAGACCCTATCGATAGAAAATCATCTACATTTTTCCAAACTCACAAGTTAAAAATATACTAAGAGAGTGCAAGCAGTAACAGGGATTTTAATATGATTGATAGCATTGTTTGAAGGAAACTGCAACTATCTCGATATTAATCAGCTTGCTATTTTTTAATCTACAAGAACTTATCTTCATAATATGAGATAATCCTGAAAGATTGCGAATCAATGCGATAAAGTTATCATAGAACGAAAACAAGGTTTCCCTAATTGAACTTTATGAAAAGTGTTTTCACCTCCAAAATCCTGTAAGTAGCTTCCATCCTAACAGTAACCGCATCCAATGGTTTCACAAAGTTGGAACTATCGGTCCAGGGGAACCTCGAGCAGGTTTTGAAAGCAAAATGTACTCAGAACTTCAACACTCATCGCCGAATTCTTGCTTCAAACGGCGACGACCTGAGGATTGACTGAGGTGAAAAAAACGAACAAAATTCACCGAAACACAGTAGCCTCTATCCACTATACAACATGCCGATCCTGTGATCGATACCAGGAGCTACAATTTATGTTGCTGTCGTCGACAACAGTTGACGAATAGAATAATAGACTTATTCATTCACTAATTCTCTACATTCTCTTCGTCCCTACTCGCAATTTGTCACGATTATTTAACATATGTCCTCTAGAGATTGAATAAAGTTTCTATTTGAGTAGGTCAAAGCTCGGCTATCAAAAATGTAACTCAAGACGGATCAAGCACTTTCAAAAAATTACTCTAAGAAGTTCAAATAAATCGTTCATTGTAGAAACTTGACTGATTCCGAAAATTCTTTCTTTTGAGCTTCATCACGATACTATCGTGAGTATCGAACTATCTGTTTATGTCAATAGATGGTCCTTATTATTGCGAGAAACTTCGCTGAAGACACCAAGTTCCGGAAATGCTTCGTTTCGGATTTTTCAATCTCGATTGCATTCCTGGCCCATAGTGCCTATTGGATATATTTACGAACTGAGTAAAATACATCAGTCAAAATCATTGTAAAAATGCATGGAATCGGTATTATAAGCCAGCACGCCTTGAAGTATAAGTCTAGATAGAGCTGGAATTAGGGCGTAACAGCTTTTGTAAACAATGGCTTCTATCGATGATTTCTAGGAACTCAATGCACACCCACGCAGACCAGCATAAGCATCGGATAGGGAAAGCCTTTCCCTACCCGATGAGGATGTTGGTTTGCGTGGGCGAACCTTGAATTTCTAGAAATCTTCGATAGAAGTCATTGTTTACAAAAGCTGTTAGGCCCTGATTCCAACTCTATCTAGAATTGTTAATCACTGGTTCACATTGTGGAATTCGAAACGATCATTGTTGTTTTGACGTAGCACTACGTCTGTGATTTCTATATGGGGGTACACTTTGTGAAAACTGAAAATGAAACATGTAACAAAATTATGAAAGATTTTGAACGGTAATAACTCAACTGCCCCTGGACCAATTTCAATAATGTTATCACCAATCGATCAGATATATTTCTACGCATCTGTTAAATTTGACGTTATCATTTTCCAAAATGTCACTATTGAAAATTGCACGAATGGGCAACTGTTGCTTTGAGCACCGATTGCCAGTGAAAAGCGATTTCCCTAACACAGATTTCAAAGTTCAATTCCATCCGATCTCACCAAACGGTGTTTATTCAATCACAGCGTGGTGAGTGGTGGTGTTCTCCAGTATAAAACGAAGGGCTGTCTGGAAGCAACGAGCTGCAACCCGCATGAGCATCCAAAGAAAGAAGAAGAAGCCGCACCGCTATTGGTCGGAATCAGTAGCTCTTCGTGAGTTGCTGTGGGCCAACTATGCCAAGCGCGTCATACTAAAGAGTATAAACAGAGAGAACCCCGCTCAAATGCCTATTCCTACACAAAACACAAGCTCCTGCTGCAGTTAAAAAATAAGATTTATTATATAAGATTACGTAGTTCTACGTCACCATTGCGTACAACCCCATAGGGCTGTCCCTTGTAGTTTTTCATAAATCTCCTTATATCCTCGAAATTTCTAGAACACAATTATCTGCTTGAGTTCCAATTTCAAGAGTCGCAACAGTGTCCGAGATTTAAACTCAAGGAAACTTGAAGTGATATAGGGCATATCAGTCATCATTGCGGCCATTTTTTAACTCTCCAAAGAAACACCTTGTGGTATGTTTGTTTTTTTGACGTAGGACTACGTCTGT